GGGAGCAGAAAGCCTCATCTTTCTCCCGCGGAACAGCTGGTAGTTTTGAACTGCTGACCGGAGCACACAACTAATGAAAATTTGGGAAAAAGACATCTTTCATAGAAGCCAAAGAGAAACCCAAACAATAGAATCGTTTTCATAAAGTGGATAAGGAAGGATGGCTATTCTTGAACAACAAAAGTTAAAAACCTCAGATAACAACGTCATAGCTAGAAACAGAGAAGAGAATAAGTATAGCTTCTGAGAATAATTTTTTCTCATTTATACGTTCACTCAACAGATATTTCCTGAACACCCCTGTGCTAGGTGCTAGATATATAGCAGGAAACAGTATAGTATTTGTTATTTATTAAAGCTAGAATCACCAAGATTTTAGTTCTAGAGGCTGGGGTGACCAAGTGGACCCAATTCTTAATATGCTGATTTGTGAACATGTATTTCTCCCTCATTTAACTCTGACCCAATATGGACCCAAACTCCTTTACTTGGCGTTTCCTTGCATAGCTGAAACAGGCAAGCATTTGAAAAAAAGAAAAAGTACTGAATACTTGTGGTGCTGTGGGTTAATGCACTGGACTACAAAGTCGGTTTGAACCTCAAGATGAGTGGTTCAAGCTCACCAGCCACTTCTTAGAAATCCTATATAGGGTCGCTATGGAACTGACTCAGCGGTATTTAACAACAACAAAAGAAGAATCAAAGGAAGATAATATTAAGATTAGTATTAAGATTTCACCTTAAAAGGCATACTGATTATCATTAGTTTTAAATGTCAGGCTTGTTTTGGTTGGAAGGTACAGTGAATTAATTTATTCAGCAAAACTTTATTATGCATCTGTATGTGCCGGATATTCCACTAGCCTCTGAGGATAGAGTGGTGAACAGAACATGGTAAACAAATCAGACTGCTGAATTGGACATCCTTTCTATTCTGATGAATACTTTGAGCCCTACCCACCCCTTTTCAGACAAGAACTTTGGTCAGGGATCTAGCATGTCAAC